ATGGAATAAACACAATTAGACAGAAAGAAAGGGGTGATTAAGAAACCATGCATAATTGGCTCTCCAATCTGGTTCAGGATGTGAACATCTCTTAGAAAAGGCTGTTCTGGGCAAGTACTTATTTCTGATTGAAATGTCAGGGCCCAAGAATGGAGAAAGAGTTTTTACACGTTGTTATTAGACTGTCTCATTGTTGGCGTGGTGAGTTCAGGCTACTTTAGTGACTAAGCAAAATTAGGCTTGTCCAGAATGGGGTGACTCAACCAAGAGAGCAGAAGCCTTAACGACAGATGTGTGTGGCAACCTGTGGCTGTAAATATTCATCACCTGTCCCCTACGCAGGACGGGCAAGCAAGGATGCTGTGTGATGGAGAAAGAGGGAGACCTGATTCAGTGTGAAACCCCACATTTCTTTCATTCTCCTAGAACTACCTGCCAAGTGGGGCAGTGACAGGGGACAGAGAAACACAAAGATGCAAGTTTGAATGCAGACTGTGAACAGTAGGGATACAGAGGAGGCTGACATCCACCCTCAAAGGTCTGTAGGGGAGGGATCAGTTTGAGTGTAGTTCAGTGGGGTATACTAAGCAACCACAGTGTGTTGAGTGCTGGGCTGGACTGGGTCCTGAAATTATGAGGAGGTTGCAGTCCCATAGGAGAGACAGGCTGGAGGGCCATTTTTGTGAAGGTTTTTTTTTCAATGTGTATTTTTTGTTGTTGTTCATATAGAGTAATGGGTTTCATGATGGTATTTTCATACCTATTTGGTCTTATTATTTGTTCTAATTAGTAATTGTTGTTTGAAGGGTATCAGAGGATTGGGTGTGGTAATACATGCCTGTAATCCTAAGACTTGGGAGAAAGATCTGAAATTCAAGGACAGCCTCAGCTATATCTTAAATTTGAGGCCAGACTGGCAACATGAAACATTGTCTCAAAAACAACAACAAAACACACCAAGTCATAGAAAAGCAGAATTACTTGAAAAGGAAACAAATTGCTCTTTTATAAAAGGCTTAAAAATGGTAGAATCACACCCCCCACCATGGAATGAAAAGAGAGAGCTGTGTGTGAAGTAGTAGGTGAAAAGCATTCCTCTTCAGTAAAAATTATGAGGGACTGTGAAGACAGTCCAGCTAGCAAAGTGCTCACCTTGGCCTGAAGAAAGAGCCGTAGAGTTCTATTCCTTATTGCCTGGTTGGGGTTTGAGAAGCTAGAATCCAGCACTACCATAGTTTTCTTCCCACAATATACCTCGAGTATCTCTCTAAATATATGTGTATAGAGCCAGGGTGTGTCCTTTGAAATGTTTTAAATCTCCATTCCTGGGGCTGGAGAGATGGCTCGCCTTTAAGAACACTGGTGCTCTTGCAGAGGACCTACCAAATTCGGTTCCCAGCACCCACACCTGGCAGCTTACAACCACCTGTAACTCCAGCTTCAGAGGATCTGATGCCCTCCTCTGGCCTCTGTGGGCACCCACACACTCGTGGCATATGTACACAAAGACACACAGCACATAAAGTAAAAGTCTACATGCCTAATGCAGTCACGAGCAGAGACTTTCTTTTCTGAGTTATAATGGATAATTAATTACCCAACTCTTCATGCTTATACTTGGACATTTGTTAATCTCATTTCTGCATTCCCATACATGTTTCTCACTAGTGCCACCCTGAAATGAAATTTGAAAGTGATAGGGAAGACTCTGAAGACTCACACTTCACACATTGCTGGCATTAAGTGATCTCAGTATCCAAAGAAGTGATCCCAGGGGCTGAATTCTATATAGGAAGAGATAACATGTCTGCAACTTGTGGAATGATTGAGTCTGCATCTGTTTGCCACAGGGAAGTTCATGTATGTGTGTGTGTGTGTATGCATGTATGTATGTATGTATGTATGTATGTATGTATGTTTAAACAAGCCCATTTCATGTGAATCACTCTCCAGAAACTTCCTCTTAGCATCTGAGAAGGCTGTTACATCATTAATGAGGTATTTGGTATTATTAATCAGCATCAATTCCTCAGAGACCAGACACTAAACTGCCTCCCTTTTCCCTGGTATACATTCATATTTTGTGAGATATAATTTTTTTATAAAGCTTTGGTTCCTTCTACATTTCAAGGTCTCCATGCACATTTCCAAATATCCCTTAGGATAACAATTCTCACTTCAACATCTCTTCTCCTCCCTCTCCTGCTCCAAGCTTAAATGTTGAGTAAAACTTCTTCAGGCTAAATCACTAACCCTGTAAGAACATGGAGTGGCTACTGCATTCTAACAAGATATATACTGTAGGCCTTAGGGTGCAGAGGCCTTAACGGGTTGGTTTGTTTGGTTGGTTGGAGAGAAGTAGAAAGAAGACAGAAGATGTTATTGTCCTTGTGATCATCTATGTTGAGCATTTGACTGGAGGTGGAAGCCAGAGCCTCCAGAGCATGATAGGGCAGGGGCCTGTGACAGGTAGTACTTCTGTGAGGTGTATAGTAGAGTGAGGGATGAGTACTTCTGTGACACATATGGTAGAGTCAGGGGTGAGTACTTCTGTGACATGTTATGGTAGAGTGAGGGGTGAGTACTTCTGTGACATGTATGGTAGAGTCAGGGGTAAGTACTTCTGTGACATGTTATGGTAGAGTGAGGGATGAGTACTTCTGTGACGTGTTATGGTAGAGTCAGGGGTGAGTACTTCTGTGACATGTTATGGTAGAGTGAGGGGTGAGTACTTCTGTGATGTGTTAAGGTAGAGTCAGGGGTGAGTACTTCTGTGACGTGTTATGATAGAGTGAGGGGTGAGTACTTCTGTGACGTGTATGGTAGAGTCAGGGGTAAGTACATCTGTGACGTGTTATGGTAGAGTGAGGGGTGAGTACTTCTGTGACATGTATGATAGAGTGAGGGGTGAGTACTTCTGTGATGTTTATGGTAGAGTCAGGGGTAAGTACTTCTGTGACGTGTTATGGTAGAGTCAGGGGTGAGTACTTCTGTGACATGTTATGGTAGAGTAAGGGGTGAGTACTTCTGTGACATGTTAAGGTAGAGTCAGGGGTGAGTACTTCTGTGACGTGTTAAGGTAGAGACAGGGGTGAGTACTTCTGTGACGTGTTATGATAGAGTGAGGGGTGAGTACTTCTGTGGCATGTATGGTAGAGTGAGGTGTGAGTACTTCTGTGACATGTATAGTAGAGTGAGGGGTGAGTACTTCTGTGACGTGTTAAGGTAGAGTCAGGGGTGAGTACTTCTGTGACGTGTTATGATAGAGTGAGGGGTGAGTACTTCTCTGACGTGTTATGGTAGAGTGAGGGGTGAGTACTTCTGTGACATGTATGATAGAGTGAGGGGTGAGTACTTCTGTGACGTGTATGGTAGAGTGAGGGGTGAGTACTTCTGTGACGTGTTATGGTAGAGTCAGGGGTGAGTACTTCTGTGACATGTTAAGGTAGAGTCAGGGGTGAGTACTTCTGTGATGTGTTATGGTAGAGTCAGGGGTGAGTACTTCTGTGACATGTTATGGTAGAGTGAGGGGTGAGTACTTCTGTGACGTGTTAAGGTAGAGTCAGGGGTGAGTACTTCTGTGACGTGTTATGATAGAGTGAGGGGTGAGTACTTCTGTGACGTGTATGGTAGAGTCAGGGGTAAGTACTTCTGTGACATGTTATGGTAGAGTGAGGGATGAGTACTTCTGTGACGTGTTATGGTAGAGTGAGGGATGAGTACTTCTGTGACACATATGGTAGAGTCAGGGGTGAGTACTTCTGTGACATGTTATGGTAGAGTAAGGGGTGAGTACTTCTGTGACGTGTTATGGTAGAGTCAGGGGTGAGTACTTCTGTGACGTGTTAAGGTAGAGTGAGGGATGAGTACTTCTGTGACGTGTATGGTAGAGTCAGGGGTGAGTACTTCTGTGACATGTTATGGTAGAGTGAGGGATGAGTACTTCTGTGACGTGTATGGTAGAGTCAGGGGTAAGTACTTCTGTGACGTGTATGGTAGAGTCAGGGGTGAGTACTTCTGTGACGTGTTAAGGTAGAGTGAGGGATGAGTACTTCTGTGACGTGTATGGTAGAGTCAGGGGTGAGTACTTCTGTGACATGTTATGGTAGAGTCAGGGGTGAGTACTTCTGTGACATGTTATGGTAGAGTAAGGGGTGAGTACTTCTGTGAAGTGTTATGGTAGAGTAAGGGGTGAGTACTTCTGTGAAGTGTTATGGTAGAGTCAGGGGTGAGTACTTCTGTGACGTGTTATGGTAGAGTCAGGGGTGAGTACTTCTGTGACTTGTATGGTAGAGTGAGGGATGAGTACTTCTGTGACATGTATGGTAGAGTGAGGGATGAGTACTTCTGTGACGTGTATGGTAGAGTCAGGGGTGAGTACTTCTGTGACGTGTATGGTAGAGTCAGGGGTAAGTACTTCTGTGACGTGTTAAGGTAGAGTCAGGGGTGAGTACTTCTGTGACCTGTTATGATAGAGTGAGGGGTGAGTACTTCTGTGACGTGTATGGTAGAGTCAGGGGTGAGTACTTCTGTGACGTGTGTAGTAGAGTCAGGGGTGAGTGGACTAGTCCTACTTCACTGCTGTTACCTCATTTTCAAGTCAATATGAAGAGGTTCACCTGTGTCTGGTAGCCTGTGTTGCTCATTTTAAACAATGCACAGACATGTGGGAAACTCTGCATTCAATCCTCAGCACCAACTGATAAAAATAACAACAAACAGTAATACATAGAATAATGGTATCAATGACCAGGGCTTTTAAAACCAAAAAAGTGATGCAAAGCTGTTCTAGAGATCAAAACGGCTGCATTAAATTTAGTTAAGGATGGGACTATTTCATTGCCAATGACTTGTATTCACAATGGGTTGAGCATTTCTATCTGGTCTACTGCTCTCACAGGCATGGGGTGGGGTATGTAGGATTCAAACAGTTGTACATGGTGCCACATGTCTTTCCTTCTTCTGATAAATCATTGTTTCTGTCTTCCTTCTCTGGCCAGGTACTGGACTGGATTGAAAACCATGGTGAGGCCTTTCTCAGCAAACACACTGGGGTTGGGAAGTCCTTGCATCGAGCACGGGCACTACAGAAGAGGCATGATGACTTTGAAGAAGTGGCTCAGGTGAGATGCTCTGTGTGTGTGTGTGTGTGTGTGTGTGTGTGTGTGTGTGTGTGTGTGTGTGTGTGTGTGTGTGGGCATATGTTGGGTTGATAGTCTGTACTGCTGTTCTGTCTAATATGAGAAGGTCTTTGTCTTCTCTTGGAGGTTACTAAGTAAGTAGCCAGTAGACCTCCATGGTCAGGGTCTTAGAAAATCTTCCTACCACTATGATCTAAAAAATGTCTTGTCCACAAGGTGGTGCTGGCAGAAGATTAATGTTATTAGACCCATCATCAGCTCATGGCTCCTACTTTTGACTGTCCCTCAGATAAGTGCTTGCAAAGCTGTGCACCATCCAGGACCTGAAGGAAGAGATAGGACCTGACTGTCAGCCATGTGCCTAGAGAACAGATATGCCCAGAGAGTGTTACTAGAATCACTTTCACCTTCAGTTTAAAATTTAATCAATATCCAATCTTTTAGCTGAGGACACACATTCAAAGAGCACTGTTTTCTGATTTTGGCAAGGCAGTTGCCAAAATAACTGGTTATTTGCCTATCCCTAAAACTTAACCTGATTCTGTTATATTTGTCTATTTGGATATTTTCCAGATAGGTCCTGAAAACCCTCATCTTCAAGTTGAAGTGTTGCTGAACAGCTGTTTTTTTAAGCTCTGATTGGTTGCAATAGAAAATAAAACTGTTAAGAATAGGATTGGGCAGGGTGTCCAATGGGACATAGGGGTCAGTGCACTGAAGTAGTACCTGGGTGATCTCTCAGAATAGAGTCACCCCAGTCTCATTGCTTCTCTTCTCTGAGTTGTCCTGTAGTCCAGACCCTCATTTTCTCTGGAAGATGTCACCAAAGACGCCTTCAGCCCTGACCTAGCTCAGCTTTCCTCGGAGTCTTCTCACTGTCTGTAATGGGCTATGGCCTCTTGGTTTGTAGGCCTCAAGACGCCTATTGACTTTTGTGTGTTGTTACATTCAAATAGGTCTGTGCCCACCATGATCCCATTTCTTCCGACTCCTTCACCAATGCCTGATAGTCCTTACATGTGGAACAATGTTTTTCAGTTATCAGAAGAGGCACACTAACTTAAATTCATGCTAAATAAAGCACATTTTTGAGTTATGGATAGATAACTTTGTGTCATAGAAGACAACATGGAGGCTCAGAAAGTTCTTTAATGTGGCCACACCATCTTGCTTATCAGTAGCCCTGCTGAGACTTTCCAGGTAAGTCAAGCTCTGGAGATATCTCTGTGTCCTAGTTCTACCTTTATTATGTAGAGGAGCTGGGTATAAAATCCATTTCTGAGTGTCCATTGGCATATACAGTTTGCATGACCCAAAGGAAGAGTGGGTCTGATGCTGCCAATGAATAATCCACATTTCCCTAAATGGGCTTTCTTATTGGACTTTTATCTTTTTTTCAAATGGAGGGGCATTCTAGCTGCCAAAGACTTGGGAGTGTGTCCTCTATAAGGAAGAAAAAGGTGGGCTAAAAGGGGACAGCCTAAGCAAGGAGGTCATGAGGTTTTGTGAATGGGCCAGTAAAGGTGGAGGTTGTAGTTTGAAAACTAACCAGACCTCTTCCTTTGTCCCATCCCCACTCTAAACTATTTGGGTTGTTTAGCAACCTTGAATTGATGGTTTTTTATAAGAAAATCAGACCACAAAGAGAGCAAATGGACTGTCAGTAACTACGTGCCTGAGACCAGCTTTGCTCAATGGGACATTACTACTGGGAGATGAAGACAGAGAAATCCCACAGGAAAGGTCTATTCTTCTATTTTTAGTCTCAGTTAAGTGAGGGCTATTGGAATGAAGTGATTTAAACAAAATTGTAATTTTTTAAAGATAGAATCTCTCTCATACAACCAAGGCTGATCTGAAACTCACTAGTAGTCCAGGCTAGCCTCAAACTTGTCCTGCTTAAGTCTCCTCAATCCTGGGATTATAGGTATATGCCAACACAGAAAATTCTTGAACAATGACAGAAAGCCACAGCCCTTACTCCATGTCGTTTGGTGTTGCTCTGGTAAGAATGGTCAGGAAAGGTAAGGTTAGTCATGCTATAGACTAGCAAGCTGTAGATCACAAATGGGCAGTGCTCTGTAGGGCTGCTCACCTTTTAACCTCATCATCTTAGGAGACTTTGATGTCAGGCTGACATGAGGAGTGAGTTCTAAGCACTCATTATGTGTATTCAGGTTTTAAGTTGGGTCAGGGAGAGGGCTACTACCTCTGTTGTGGTTCCCAGAAATTTGGCTTTCTGAAGGAAAGGGCAAGCACTCAAGCAAAGGAAATGATTAACCTTGAGGAGAGCTTGAAGGGAAATAAAACACCTGAACAAAGGCATCTTTACTCTAGGATGGTAGAGTATCTATGATTGGTCACCCTGAGGTAAAGACAATTAAGGCAACTGTTCAGACAGTCATAAATTCTATGAAGAATCAGAGTCATGATCCATTTCTACCAATGAACATATGTTTTGTGCATAATCACTCTTGAATACATTTTAAAGAAATTCAAATTATTTGAAGAGGATAGAAGTATTAAGGAGTGTCCAGCCCATCCTGCAGATGGCACTCTTAGAACAAGCTACCTAGTAGCTATGCCTTGGAAAGGCAGCAGTCCCTATAGGAGACATGACATCATGACATGGGTAGACGTACCCCCAATCATGGGGAAAAAAACTATCAAAAACAAATGACCAGCCATAGAATAAAGCAAATTTTAAGAGGCATTTATATTCTTGAGGCACATTGTCATTGTGATAATCAACAAGTATGAGTTGTTGCCCTTATCAGCATGATTGTGACAGGATAGATGCCCCTGTGTCTGTTCAGGTGACAGATTGGAATACAGCACTACTGTATTGGCCTGAGATACTGCTATGTGGTGGGAAAGCACTTAAATGCCCATGGTTTTGAGAGAGGCTGTGCCACCCTGTGAGTGGTCAGCTTTATGATCTCATTATCCAAAAGGCCAGATTTTCTATAAGCCTAGGTAGCCCCCAATTGGAAACATTTATATTTGAATATACATTGCCTAATGTCAACATGCCAACCAAATCACACTTGAGCAGCCAAGCACATTTAAGTGGCATTAGTGTAATAGTTTGCAAAGAATAGTCAACTTAAAGAAATAATAAAACATGGACACAATGAAGTAATTCAGTCCATAAATCTCCATTTAGTTGTTTTGCTGTATGATGGCCTGTTTTTATTTCTCAAACATGAATTGAATGTGTTTAAAATCCATTCTGTGTTTGAGAGCAAAATAAAATGTATGGAAATAGAAGGACTGTAGTGGATCAGTGTATATGTGATAACAGGAAATTTAAAGTGGCCTCAATGAACGTTCAGTGCTAAAGGCATGTAAGCCAGGGTTGTGCATGGAGACTAAAAGTCTATGCCACCATTAATATTCATGCACCATGAAGTCTCAGTGTTGAGCATTGAAACATATAATTTCTATAACCTAATGAAAATGTAACAAGTATATTTAGCTCTCTTGGGAGTGCCAGCCTATAATCCCATGCCCAGAGAGTCTGGGAAACAGAATCTTCATCCAATGGCTGATGGAAGCAGAGGCAGACTCCTACAGCTAAACACTGAGCTGAACTCAAGGAACCCAGTGACAGAGAGGGAGAACTGATGAGCAAAGGGGTTGAGACTAGGCTGGTTTAACCCCAGAAACAGCTGACCTGACAAGGGGTCAGACTGATGGCTGGGAATCCAATATGGGACTGATCAAGACACCTTGAATGTGGGTGTTAGTGAGGAGGCCTAGGAAATCTATGGGGCCTTGGGTAGTAGATCAGTATTTATCCCTGGCATACAAATGGACTTTGGGTGCCCATCCCACAATGAGAGATGCACTCTCACCCTGAACTCTTGAGGGAGGGGGAGGCCCTCCATGGGGAACTGAGGGAGTATTGGAAGGGGAGGGTGTGGGGGGAAGGGAGGGAAAGGAAGAAGGACCTGGGATTGACATGTAAAGCAACCTTGTTTCTAATTTAAACTTAAATTTAAAAATAAAAAAGGGCAAAAAAAAGTTTCATCTTAAGAGAGGAAGTTTTCTCTCTTGTGGTGATCCAGTAAACATGGCTACTGAGGGTGACGTGGTGTCCTTTGGAGTCAGTTGCATCTTCTCTCCATCCGAGATGATGACCATTTATAGCAGCTGCAGACATGAGCAGATGGGCAAAGGTGGGAGAGCCTAAAAAGATGCCCTTTCACAATCCAGCCTCTTTGCAATGGTGAAAGGTTTTTAGGCAGATGAGAAAAATTTGAAGAAGAATGCCAAGCAAATGTCTAAAAATTAATGTCATGAAGCTGGCTGGTAGAAGGATGTGAGGCAGCCTAGAGATGAAGGGCCGCCTTGCCCTTTGGATTCTGTGTGACATTTCAGGTGGATTCAGGACATCTCCTTGCCTCTGTGGACATCAGGGAGAAGTTACAAGCTTGAACTGATGGAGAGAGAATCTTGTGACCACTCTGTGGGGGGATATTTATGTGTGGATGACCAAGAGTCCTGAGAGTCATTTTGTTTATCTTTAATGTCAATAATTGGGGTAGGAGCCACTGTTGAATATATTATGAAAGAGTCATCACATATCCCTTATCAAGTCTGTGGATTAGCCCTGACTCTACTTCCTGCTTGTTCAGAAGCCATCATGGCTGTGTTCCTAATGGCTTTAACAAACTGAAAGAGACTCCCAAGCACAGGTGGTGTTTTTAGCTCCCTTTCCATGCGATGTGGTGACTGGCAAAGAAGGGAGGCTTTGAGAAACAAATGGCTGTCTGCATGAAGTGTATTTCCAAAGTTTTCTGGGCTATGTCTACAGAGTGTGCATGATAAACTCCTGGCAAGGAGTAGAGCACATCCTGTGAAGGATGGAAGGGATACCAATGGTAAGAGAACCCTGCTGATCTGTGTGGAAAGATTTAAACGAATTTGATGGAAATTCGTTTACTGGGAAAATAATTCCAGTAAAGCCAATACCAGAA